ACGTCTTATTGTAAGTTTGTTCATCTGGTAATAACATAAACTTAAAATATTAGTGATTCTGTATTAGCATTACGTAATTGTTTTTGTGCAAAAATATCAAGTTCTGCGCCAAATAAGAGTCCTTTGCTGAAACTTTTGACTTACTTCATTAATTTGAAGAAACCTGCAGTTGAGGTGCATCGATTGCTTGGAGAAGCATATTATGAAGCTGCTTTAAGTGAGAGAAGTTGTCGTCAGTGGTTTCAGAAGTTTAAAAACGGCGAGTTTGACGTGGAAGAAAAGCAGTGGAATGCCGAAATTGTACGAAGACAAGGAATCGGAAGGACTATTGGAAGAATATTCGTCCCAAACGCAAAAAGAACTTGATCTCACATTACAAGTGACTCAGCAAACAATTGCATATCCTTTAAAATCGTTGGGATTGATCACAAAACAAGGAAGTTAGGTTCCATACGAACTGCAGCCAAGAGACATTGAACGTCGATTTTGCTATTTGGGAACACATTAATGGGAAGTCCTACCCCACCCGCCCTATTCACCAGACCTTGCCCCTTCAGATTTTTAACTATTCCGGTCGATAGCACTACTTCATTTAGAGAAACCAGGGAATGGGTCGATTAGTGGATATCCTCGAAAAATGAAGAGTTCTTCCAACGTGTGGTATCCAAATGCTCCCAGAAAGATGGGAAAAAGTAGTGTTTTATAATGCAGAATACTTTGAAATTAAGATAATGTGTGAATTTTTCNTACGACAGTCTCCACAAGACTCAAAGACCTTGAAAATATTACAGTGCAATATAAACGGTTTGACCACACCGGCGACGAGAACTTAATTGGACCAACTATTAGAAATTGCAATTAACGGAGACATCCAGGTAGTTGCTGTACAGGAAACTAAACTAAAGAAAACTTCAGCTCTTAAGATCAAGGGATTCGACATTCATAGAACTGACAGATCTACCAAGGGTGGAGGAGGCTTTGCCTTTTTCATCAGGAATGTTAAATATCAAAGTATTGACACTTCAATTGTCCAATCTTCGGACCTTGAAATCCTAGGCATTGTGATTTTTTGGAAAGGAAAACCCTTTCATATCTTCAACGTTTACCCCCCCCCCAGCTCACAAAATCTCGGAGGAGTGGAAAACACCCCCAACCTATAATTGGTACAAGGGATCAAAACCGTTTTTGTCCCTTGACCTCCCGTGTGACAGACGTACCCGGACTGTTCTATCAAGGCTTGCTATCGGTCACATCAAGTGCCTCACTTTCAAAGAGGGCAGGAAAGCCTTCGTCACCTGCACCAAGTGCTCCTCCTGACCACCTCTTGGATTGCATGGAACTCTCTAAGGAGGATCTCCTTAGCAATCCTCTCCTAGTCTTCGACTTCCTTTCAGTCAACGAACTCGTGGATCTTGTCCGACTCCGTCAGACAGTGAGAATAAGCAACAACAAGAACAGGTCCTCACCAAAGTGCGTGGAAATTCATTTTACCCTGATTCACCATTCTCGGTTACTGTGGTTCATGCTCTGTTTCTCCTTTTCTCTCTCTCTCTCAGCTGTGGTTTTTCTAATTTTGTTACTAATTTTTATTTTTCCATTTTTGTTCGCAACTTTACGTTTTATATTTTAAATCACTTTTGTTTCTTTTCATTCACGATTGGCAAGTTTAAAAAAAGGGACGCCATGTTTTTGAACTCTTGAAATATGCAGACAGTTATTTTTAATTTCTATGTTTTTAGAGAAAATGAAGTTTTTAATCAAGTGAAGCCATATTATCATCATCATCATCAATGACTCGACAGCCCAAGGTGGGCCTTGGCCTTCTCAAGAAGTTTTTTCAATGCTAACCTTTTTTTTTTGCTAGTGTTTTTCAGTTTTTAGTTTTTAAGTCCAAAAGGTCTTTCTCTTGATCTATCCATCTCAAATTCGGCCTGCCTCTTTTTTGTGTGCCAGCTGGTCTGGCATTGAAAACTCGTTTTGTGGTACAGTCTTCGTCCATTCTGATAACGTGGCCTGCCCATTTCATTCTTTGTCGTTTAATAAATTTAATAATGTCAGGTTCATTATATGAGTGATAAAGCTCTAGATTAGATCCTCTAAGCCACACACTATTTTTTTTTAATTCCTCCAAAAATATTTCTCAAGACCTTTCTCTCAAAGGTACCCAACATAGCTTCATCCTTACAGGATATGGTCCAGGTTTCACAAACATATGGTAAAATTGATCTTATAAGAGATTTATATAATAAAACTTTTGTTTTTCTATGAATTTCATTAGATTTTATGTATTTTCGAATTCCATTAAAACATTTATTGGCAATAGTAATTCTTCTTTGTATTTCAAGACATGCTTTTCTTAAAAATAAAACCTCAAAAGAACTGCTATTAACGTTGAAAATAGCTATTAAGGAAACCTATTTCTTTATAAATGAGAATTTTATTGTGAATTGAACAACGACGTGGGAAATCATCAATTTTTCATAAATGCACTCTCTTTTCATAATTTAGTTCAATATATTGTTATTGGAAAAATTATATATTCTATTTAAATATTTGCCATTTTTTTCCTTCGGCATTTAACTTTCAATATTTTTTTCTAATATCAATCAAATTATTACAAAACAAATTATAGATTATTGATTGGATCTTAATATGAAGATTTTAAAAGTTAATGCTGGTTAAAAAAAAGAACAAAAAGATTTCGAACCTCAACATTTCCACGGAACCCTCAAGAAATTCTTTATTTTTATCAACCTATTAGAATGTGCATTTAAAACTATTGATAGACTTTCAAACAAGAGATAACATTTCAAAACAATCAAAANAAGAGGGAAAACAAGAACGCTATCGAAATCCAACAAATTACAGTATAGCTTGTCTATAGTACGAACTCCCCCTCCACAAAGTCTGAGGCAGTCTCATGCTATGGAAATAAGAATAGTGTACTTCAGGGAAGGTAGCTGATAGCGAATGTAATAAATATTAATAATTGTTGAAATTTGAAGTTGTTGAAACTCGAAGGTGTTTCGAATAATTGTCTTTGTTCTTTGTTTCTTCCAAACGCTATCAAACCTTGCGATTTATTACATTAGCCTACTTTTACTGTGGACAGATTTCGATAGCGTTCTAAAAATGCATATAAAAAGTGTTTTTTTTTTTTTTAAATTCCCTGCTTACTTAGTACGTTTCGGGAAAAATTTAAAGCTTTTCTCAAAAATAGGCTTATTTAAAATAATAATAATAATAATGAAAATGATAAAAACTGTTTATTAAACATAATGAAAGAACGGCGATAGTTTATGAATGATTAATGAAGCTAATTAATTGTATTATTTAATAGAGGATTACAATTGATCGAAGGTGAATAACTACCTTCATTCCAAAACCCCAATTAAAAAAAAAAACAAAAAAAAACCCCAACACCAAGAAGGAGTTTTGCTAGATAAACTAAATTTAGTAGGCTTGTTCATACAACTAAAAGATGATTTCTATCCAAATTTCGAGTTTGGCGCATGCGCATAATTTTAATACAGTGAGTTGCTGTTAGTTAAGAATGCCTTCAAGTCGACGAAGCAGCCATTATCAAAATTTTTGAACGTGGTACTGTAATAGGGCTGCGAGAAAGTGGATTTTCTTTCCGCGATATTACAGAAAGACTGGAGGGAAATGTATCCCCTGTAAATAATTTTCTTTAATATATATTTTATAACCGTCGTTGAACAGCGGACCCAATTTTGTGTTTACAACTACCAATGCTCAACTCCGTAGCTTTGAACCCGATCCAGAAGACAAGAGAACTCCCGGATCAAGTATTGGGCGAAATTCTGCCTTCGTGGTGGACTTTTCTGCAAAACTAACCTACACTTGCGTTGCATGGAGAGAAACACCACGAAAACCTCCCACGGTTAGCCTGATGGCAAGGGAACTCTAACCCATGATCCTATTTTACCACTGAGGATATTTTACTGCGCATGATTGTTGGCAGCAGTGGTCAAGGGAAGGTACTGCTTCAAAAAGACCGGGTTCGAGGCTGCCACACTGGACTACTCAGAAGGAAGACCACTATGTATGGCTGTGGAGCACCGATCTGCGTCTGCGTCAGAAATTCGAGCTGCAGTTTGGCACTGCAGCGATACAACGAACTGTTACAAATCGGTCACTTCAAGTACATCTCCGAGCGAGACCCCCTGTAGTTTGCATTCCACTCACTCGTTTACGACGTGAGTCGTGTCGAGTTAGAGCTCACTGGAGGACCGATTGGAGATCTATTGTGTTTTCTGATGAAAGTCAATTTTGCCTTGGAGCAAGTGATAGCCTTACATTAGTTAGAAGGAGGCCAGGTGAGCGCTTGCAACAGACCCCGGCACACTGGACCTACACTAGGAGTTATGATCTGGGGAGCTATTTCTTATGATAGCAGTAACACTCTCGTGGCTATTCGGACATTTGTATGTCAACCTGGTAATTCAATTTGCTTTGTTGCCATTCATGAGCAGCATTCAAGGGAGTATTTTCCAACAAGACGCTCTCATATTGCTGTTGTAACCCAATACAGAATATCGACACGTTGCCTTGGCCTGCTAGATCACCAGATCTTTCATCACTCTTGCACATATGGGACATCATTGGACGTCAACTTCAGCGTCATCCATAACTAGCATTAACTATTCCCGTATTGACTGAAGTGCAACAGGCATGGAACTCCATCCCACAAAATAACATACGGCATCTGTATGGCACAATGCATGCCCCTTTGTATACTTGTACTCAAAATTCTGGTGGTTACACAGATTATTAATGTACTAGTATTTCGCATTTGAAATTTTTCTCTTAATTGCATTAATCTGTGATCTTGAAACTAATCAATAAAATAAATTACTCAGACAAAGGCACTGCCGAAATTTTATTACTCTACAATAATTTTTTTTCTTGGTGTTGGTATTTTCCCCCATCAGCGCAGCTTCAAGAATCGGTAATTAAAGGCATTAGCCGTATTTAAATCATCGATACTGTAAATGAGATAATAATTTACATGAAGGAATGAAATCTTTCGAATTATACCTGCGATGTGTGGCGTAGTTTCCTGACACGTGACCCATTCCGTCACATCCTGGTGTCGGACAGTGAATAGGCTCACGAGTTTCACGTATTTTTACAGCTGCCAGAGCAGTTTTCAATAGCCTAGGCGATGGTACCCTAGAAATATGTTTATAGAAACATGCTTAATAATTTGCACATAAAAACATTTTTATTGAAATGCATACATTTTGTATTCACTAAACGAAATGCGTTAAATGTATTATCATTGTTATCAGAGGTTGATAAAGTGTAATTGAAATATATTTTACACGCAGATCGTAATTATAAAATATGGGAAGCAGTGTTACTGTCTTTGAACTAAGAGATAAGAGGCTTAAGGTAGTAGAATTAAAATACCCTTCAAGAAATGCGCAATTATTGAAGACGAATCATTGATGTTAGTGATTGTTATTGGTTGTTATGATCACAGGATAAACATGCACTTATGCAATGGCAGGTAGGTGTTTTATTTAAGATGTACTAGAGAGCTGCACAATGGGCTATTGACGACGGTCTAGGAAACATCCCTGAGGATGATCCGAAGACATGCCATTGCAATTTTGATCCTCTGCAGAAGGGATGCCTACCGTGCTTTGGTAGTCAGACGATCTGCTTGCGAAGTCGAGCACTATACGGTAGAACAGTTTAACGATGACCGATACCACGCACCATCAGTCCTTACGCAGGCTGATCAAAGTGGTCACCCACTCGCTTACTGACAGCAGACAGTGGTGCTTGACTTCGGTGTTCCACTGGGAACGTGTCCATGGCGGAACACTTATGCAATGCGTTTTAATGAACATTGAATTAACAGATGCTGTCATTAGATGAATGTGTTCCTAAAATTGATATAAATACTGTGTGTAATTCGTAATTATAAAATATGGACTACAGACATTGTGAGACATCAGATCGGCGAAATTGATATGCACTTCATGTAATGCGTAATTATAAAATATGATTAAAAATACAGATATTAAAAACAGATATTTGTCACTGTCATTTGATTAATGGTAATCCAAGAATTGATATGTACTATGGGTGATGCATAATTATAAAATATGGATTACAGACACTGAGAGAAATGAGATCAGAGAAATTGATATGCACTGCATGCAATGCGTAATTATAACAAACGGATTACAGACATTGGACAGTGTCAATAAATGAATGAGTACTGTTGTATACCGTGTTTGATGCTTTATTATAAAATATGGATTATAGATATTGTTCACTGATATTTGATGTGAGAATCGATCTTTACAGTGTATGATACGTAATTATTAAATATGGTTGTAGATATTGGTCTTTGTCATTAGATGAATGATATTAGAGTATTGATCTGTACTGTGAATAATGGGACTCAATTATAAAACATGAATTAATATTGGGCACTTTCGTTAGATAAACGTGATTCTAGACGCGATATGTACTGTGCGTATTTAGTATTTATATAATACAGACGGACTTCTATTTAACGAACTTCCATTTTGCGAATTTCTCGATTTTGCAAGTTTTGTTGAGGAACCGGGAATATTTTGAAAATCTCTTCGTAAAATAACTTCCAAATAGCGAAGTGAATTTTCTATTTAACGAAATTTTCTTTGATATCTACTTCTCCTATTTCCCAAAATATTTCAGAACATTTCAAACTTGTTAACGCATTTTATGGGGAAAAGGACCCTGAATTGATTTTCGAAGCCACTTTTAGAGAAAACAGTAAAATTCCTTTTTCTTTTTGTTTGCAATTCAAACAAAAAACTCAGACAAAACTAACGGAGTTCATCTGTAACAATTAATCTTAAGAACTCATATGGTAATGTAGGTTTAAAATTACTTTGCAGTTATAATTTTATACAGCAAATAAATGCAGCTAGAATTTTATACATAAATTTAGCTTTTTTTTTAGTTTAAAACATATGTAGCATGAAGCATGATAGTGTACTACTGGAAAATGTTTTGCTCTATTCGTGTTTTCCATGCAGATTTCTTTTATAACTAAGATTTATAAAATAAATAGTAGATACTAGCTTACAGGATAAAGGTGCATCAATTGGTATTTTAACTGTGTCTAGTGTTTATGAATTTAAAACCTGTTTTGTGCTGTTTAAGTTTTTCAAAAAGTGATTTTCTATTTAACGAATTTTCCATATGACGAACTTATTGTCGGGATTTAGCAACTTCGTTAAATAGAGGTCCCATTGTATATGCAACAAATATTGGTCAAACATTCTGTATTGATGAATGTGATCCAAGAAGAGATATGTACCGTGTGTATTGAGTATTTATAAAATATGGATTGAAGATAATGGTTACTGTCTTTAGCTGAATGTGATCCGAAAATTTATACGAGCTTCCGTGTATTGAGTATTTATAAAATATGGATTGAAGATAATGGTTACTGTTTTTAGCGGAATGTGATCCGAAAATTTATATGAGCTTCTGTGTATTGAGTATTTATAAAAAATGGATTGAAGATAATGGTTACTGTCTCTAGCTGAATGTGATCCAAAAATGTATATGAGCTTCCGTGTATTGAGTATTTATAAAATATGGATTATAGATGTTGGGTACTGTCATTAGATGAATGTGATTTAAGAAGCGATTTGTAAAATGCGAATTTAAAATAATATGGAGCGCATGTTAGTCTCAGTCATGACATGAATCTGATCTGAAGAATGATGCGCTTTGTATAAATATATATATTACCTATCTTGATCACTGTCATTAGATGTCGTGACCATAGATAGTTGACGATTGTTGTTGATGCATTTATTAGTGGTCTGAGTGGTGGTGTTGCAGGTCGGCGTGAGAACTGTTGTCACAGACAGAGTGAGGCAGGCAGGTGCAGGCAGGTTATTTGAGTTGGTGGATGTTACTGGACTCCTGCAATAAAAATAATCCACAGTCAATTTTCTTTTATTTTTTGCATTGTATTCTATAACTTAAAACCATTTAAAGTTCAGGATAGATCAATATGAAAAGTCCAGATTTCTCGAACAAAACGCTGATTTTTCATTATTCTAAACATTGCTATAAATTTTTATTTAAAATAATTTACAGATTGAAGTTTCTTCATAAATTTGTATAAGTAAATTTATGTGATTACATATAAAATAAAAATATTTACGAGAGTTTTGTCGATTCATCCCCTTTCAGTTTCTTTCGGCGATATGTCCTTGCAATAACAGAACTTTTGTTTTTGCTACGAAGTCTGTCTTACAATTTATCAAAAAGCTACTCGATGTAAAGAAGTAATGTTTGTATAAGTAGGTTACGTTTTTTTTCTTCTTCTTTTGGGAAAAAGAAAAGGAAATGTAGTTTTCTTTTCTCTTACCAAATGCATTCGAAAATTTGGTACATATTGCTTTTATTCCATTATACATTCTTATCGCATTCCTAAAAAGAGGTAGTATTTGCTTTCTTTCTTTTCTTTTCTTAAAAGAAAACAGTGATATTATTAGAGTTAAAATTTTGCGTAATTGTTTTATGCGCAATAAAGTCTAACGTTATTATTTATGCTTCAATGCGCAATAATGAGTTTTTCGCCTCCTCATGGAGTGGTGACATAAAAACAGGTTTTTATGTCACCACAACAAATATTTTTTTCGCTGACAACCGTACTACGAATTATATTCTTATAATTTTTAATGTATTTATAAAATGAATCAATCTAATAATAAGTTGCCGTTTCACTGATTCACTTATACACTGATTCTCTCTTGCAGGGTTGCCACAGAAAAAAATGAACAAAATAGTTGCTTCTAGTAGCCTAAAGCATGAAAATAGTCTCCTAAAATTAAGAAAATAGTTGCCTAAATAAGAACAAAAAATTTTCAATAATATTACAAAAATTTTATTAAATGACTTCATTGTAATATACCATGATCCATTTAGTCGTTGATAGTCAATATGATAATTTTTAAATAAACGTTAGTGTTCTAGCACTCAATTTTCATGTAAAAAAATTAGTATATTTGCAGAAAATTAAATACTTTTAAATATTAGAATTAATTCAGAAAAAAAAATTTGTTAAAAAAAACATACTCTTTCTAAAAAATTTTCCTTTTTATTAAGAATTAATATAGCAAATATATATATACTGAAAATTTATTACTAAAATTCGAAATTCACGCATCATAAAATCCGCATCATCGAAATTCACACATCGCATTAAAAATAGGGTACTTTAAAATCATGCAGAATTTCGTAGCAATAACTGCTGAAAATGCTATTGAGAAACAAAATAGATTCACAATGGAATCTGTGCAAATTGAGCTCATTAAAAAGTGATGACTAAAATTTGATATTCAAATTTTTTTTATTTTTTAAGAAAAAAATTTCATTATGTTCAGAAGCTACCGCGGGGCGCAGGTTGTTAACCCAATTTTTGCTAAAAAAACATTTCTAGAATCACAGAAAAATCTCCCAATAGTTTCCTTTTCTTGAAAATAGTTGCTTTTTTAGACTTTTCAGACAAAAAAAGTTGCTATAGTTGCCTTAGGTCGAAAATAGTTGCAAATAGTCACATTTTAGTCGCCTGTGGCAACCCTGCTCTTGTGTCCCTTAGAGTTCGAAAGTAGCTCAACCAGTAATTCTAGAACGATGTTGTTGTTATTGTTGTTGTTAATTTACGTCGCACTAGAGCTGCACAATGGGCTATTGGCGACGGTCTGGGAAACATCCCGGAGGATGATCCGAAGACATGCCATCGCAATTTTGATCTTCTGCAGAAGGGATGGCTACCGTGCTTCGGTAGTCAGACGACCTGCTTGCGAAGTCGAGCACTTTACGGTAGCACAGTTTAACGATGGCCGATACCACGCACCCTTGGTCCCTAGCAGACTGATCCAAGTGGTCACCCACCCGCACACTGACCGTAGCCAGTGATGCTTGACTTCGGTGATTTGCTGGGAACCGTGTCTTAACGATCAGTCCACTGCGGGACAATTCGAGAACGAAAACACACGTTAGAACAAGGCCCAGAGTCTATTCCCCTTATCTCTGATTAAAAGGTCTACCAATTAACATGTCTTTATAGCACGTATTTTCCTGTTCTGCAACGTGGTACGAATGTTTAACTTCGAACGTCCAACGCAGACAGAAGGGACGTTTGACTGAAGGCTCGAGGTCTTGTACCGCAAATTGCTTGGCCCTTGTGCTGTTGCGGGATTTCTTCCATGCGATAAACCTTCATATGTTCCTATGGGGGTGGATCGGGGTTAAGCTTCGTTTATTCAACGATTCTCTATTCATTAACTAATACGTCGATTTCTTAATTCTCGCATTCATTTATTTGTTATTTCCCTTTCTTTACGCGCTTACTGTATCAGGGGACCAAACAAAATAACGGTTGCCATAATGATGACAACCGATAGGGTGGGGTAAGTACCTCGTTCACTATGAGATTAATAACCATAATTTTTAAATTTTCTTACAAGGATTCTAAAAATGAATTTAAAGGGTGTGCTCAAGAGTAACAGTATACAGTGCGCATGCGTCGTCATTGCACGCGTTGCTATGGGGACGGTTGCTGTTTCATAAACTTTAGAATTCTTTTTTCAATAAGTTCAGTATGCAATGAATGGATATTTTTGGCGAGTTTATTCTTGAATTGTGGGACCTGTGAGAGATCCCATAAATATCACTGAACTTGTTAATAAAAAGAATCTCATCACTTGAACAATGTTTTCCGTTTGGGTCGGCTGTTCAACGACGGTTATAAAATATAAAATAAAATAAAATGTTTTCCGTGTTTAATTAAGAATCAGAAATCTAGTCCACAGATCAGGGTGAACATCACTGGAATTGTGATCGCTTTTAACACAGGTAAAAAGGTTCGAATCCCAGTTGTTGTTGGTAAATTTGTATACTTGTTTCCGTTTTACGCTGAATCACAGACTTCATAAACTATTAGAACATTTTTACCACCTAGTCAACAATAGGAGGCTGTTATGATCGCACTCTTCACGTATCGTAAAAGTGGGGTTATATTTATTCAATTGACAAGTGTGTCTCGATACTTGATCGATTCTGTAATTATGTCGTCATTTAAATCACGTTCGAAATTACAAACCTTTGGTTTCGAACGTTTTTGCTTCAACGCCTTTCAGTTGTCAGATCTTTCATTCAAAGCCCTGGATTATTTTACTTTTATTAACTAACTACGACACAAAAACATAAAATAGATACGTAAGCATATTTTACAATGCATTAATAGAATATACATTGAATAGTGAAATCGCGCAAAAAGATGGAGGAATTATGATTGCTTTTGATACAGATGGAAAAAGTTCGAATCCCGGTTCTTGCTTGTGGATTTAAACTATTCTTGTTTCATGGTAGGTAGGTACTTTATTTACGTAGTACTCGAACTGCACAATGGGCTCTTGGCGACGGTCTGGGAAACATCTCTGAGGATGATCCGAAGACATGCCATGGCAATTTTGATCCTCTGCGGAGGGGATGGCTCTTCCTCATTGGTAGCCCGACGACCTGCGCACGAAGTAGAGGACTTTACGGTAGAACAGTTTAACGAGGACCGATACCGCGCACCCTTAGTCCCTACACAGTCTGATCAAAGTGGTCACCCACCCACTTACTGACCGCAGCCAGTGATGCTTGACTCCGGTGGTGCTCTACTGGGAATCGTGTCTTTACGATCAGTCCACTGCGGGATCTTGCTCTATGATCACAGACTTCATAAATTATTAGGGTATTTTTACCAGCGAGACAGCAATGGAGGTTTTTTGTGGTCTTACTCTCCATGCATCGTAAGAGTGAGTTTAGATTTACTCAAATCGTCAAGTGTGTCCCGATACTTGATCTATTGTGTAATAAAGTCGACTTTTGAACCATGTACGGCATTACAAATCTACGGTTTTGAACGTTTTCGTTTCAACGTCACTCAGTTGTTAGAACTAATGATACAATGAAATAAAATAGCTACGAAAGATTATTTAACCATGCAGTATCAGAATATGCACTGTTTATTGTCAAATTGAACAAAATGTTGAGGTTTATTACCTGAGGATAGGCGTTGATTGTGTCTGCTGTTGCTGAGGATGAGGGGCTGCTGTCACAACTAGTGTCTGTGCCAGGGATGCCAGGATCGATGGGACATGTGAACTGGACAGAGAGGCTATCGTGAATGATGATGACGAAGTGGAATGCAAGCTCACTGATGAGAGAGAAAGGCTGGCTGCTGGCGTGGAAGACAACACCTGTTGCCAAAAGAACACCAAAATTTAGTTCTACAGACAAATTTTAATAGCATTAAGGTGCATGAAATGCTAGGTCCATCTCATTCATAAATTAAGGAAAAACGCGCCTGGATTTAAATAAGCATTGGATTACTGGAAAATACAAATTACTAGGTTGATGAGAAAGTGTGCTAAATGAAATGTACCACAACGTGCATATTTTGTCTAATCATTAACATAATTTATAGATTTAAATGTGATAAACAACGGGAGTGTTAACATGTGAGGACTTAAAAAGTGAAGAAGACATCAGAAAAATGACATATGACACATGAAAAATATCCTTTAGATAAAACATACGTGCTTCTTGCATATTTTTGGCTGAAAATAACTTTTTTTTAATTCACTGTGCATCATTTCTCCAAAATTCCACACTTCAGTTGGTTAATTTTATTTTCACAACATGCAATATAACTTATTACAGTTAGTCAAAGGAACTCTGTTCTCATTGATGGTCGGACTGTCGCCAACTTGATATTTGAAGTGACAAAAGACTTCAGTGTAATTTTTATTGTATGTGACTTTTCCGCGAGTGAAAAAAAAATTGTAGACGCATTATAAGTGAGATATCCCAGATCTTAATACTAGAATCTGGGCGACTTTACTTCAACAAAAACGATACGTGATAGAGCGTTTTGGTTTTGATATATGAATAAAACAACTTTCAATAAGCTTAGTTTCAATTAAAGTACGGGAGCCGTGAGGGGTCAGAGAGGATAGAGCATTTGCCTTCCAATGAGGTAAACCGGGTTCGAATCTCAGCGATGGCTGGTTGGTACGAATTCCGCATCTAGCTTTCACTGATCACAGTGCTGACGTAAAATATCCTCATTGGTAGACTGATCATGTGTTTAAGCCCCCTTGCCGTTAGGCTAACCGTGGGAGGTTTTCCTCTCCATGTTACGCAAATGCGGGTTAGTTCCATCAAAAAGTCCTTCACGAAGATAAAATGTCTCCTGATACTTGATCCAGGAGTTCCATTGTTTTCTGGACTGGGTTCAAAATTACAAGGCTACGGAGTTGCTTGAAGAACAAAAGAGTTACAATTTGTATATTCGCTGTAAAGCGTGATTTTCGGATTGTTTTATGACATAACCACCTTCTTAGGACATAACAGCCTAAAGCTTCATTATGAAATAAAGTTTGTGGTACTGATAATATCGCAAAATAAATAGTATAAATAATAAATAAATAAATCAGGAAAGAAAGAGGGGTTTGCACCGTACCTGGATGGTCGAGGGCGCAGTTTGAACCTGACTAGTAGCCGACCCTATAATCCTCCCAGGACACTGTTGCTGTGGTGTGGACAGCGCTATGGGATGATGAGTGTTGATGGTGGCAGGATGAGTAGAGCTCGGAGGCAGTGACGCGGACAGTGCGGAGGGCAGAGATGCGGGCAGCGAAGTGGGATGAGGGGATGGTACAGCGGCCTGCAGAGTGATGGGGCTTTGAATTTGTGAGAATGGTGATCTGTTGGGCGGCGGATAAGGCGTCTGAGGTGCCTGCGGAACAAGTGCTGGAGGTGGTGACATTGGCAAAGAATCCACTGGTGTCAGCAGAGGTTGCACGGTCACTGGTGCCAGAGGAGCGGATATGACGCCAACTCTAGTGGCCGTGGCAGTTCCTGTGGAGAAATCCACTGGTTCAGTTTGCTCAATGGCTGCACCGAATATTGGCTTTGGCGTTACCAGAACTGTCGGTCGGTGTGGTGTGGGATGGAGAATGGTAGTGCTGCCTGACAAAGAACTGCAAAAGATAAAATGGGATGAATCAGGATTTTCATATACCAATGCTATAAAATAAAATGTCATTTGGTTGTTCGATAACATTCAAAGTGACAGACTAAAATGCAGCTTAGACCAAGCAAGATTTTGATATATCATTGTTCTACATCAAACGTTTGGTATAATAGGCTTTTGATATAACACAAATCACAAATTAAGGCAAACAACGTTAAAGAGCACAAAAATATTTATAAAATAATTTATGCATTATATCACGTTGACAATTGAGCTGAAAATCTCACTCTCTCTTTTTATTAAAAAAAATTTGAACTTGTTATTCAATAATGTTTTGCCTATGGGTTTCGAACAATATTTCTATATTATTATCTCTGGATGTCTGTGGGAACAGTTTCATTGAAATACCTGTTTTTCCAAAGTTAATCTTGCAGAAAATCTATTTTTACAGAATTCTTATACTGATTAGAAGACAAACAGATTAATGATAATTATATATATATAAAAATATTGGTCAGCATGTTTATAAGATAACGTGTGAACTGTGAATGCATAGCTTGTGAATGAAACAAAAGTAATTATTTAAGATTGAAATTATTTACAATCACTAATATTTAGCATTTTTTTTCAAAAAAATGTTTCAGAGTAGTTTATCGCTGTACAGAATATCTTCGTAAGATTAGCATAGTATATCTTTGTAGCGTGTATATCTTTGTAAGATTAGCGTAGTAGGATTAGTGTTAGTTTATACAAAAATTCAGTGGGATTCCAAAATATTGTTAGTATGGAGTAAATCATTCAGTTTGCAGGATAATGCAGGATATGGTTCCAGCAATTATGCAGGATATAGTTCGAGAATAAAGTCTATCGTGTTCTACATACTAGAATAAATAAATTTTTCTTAAAAATCGAATCAGTATTTTGGCTGTTATAAACTCTTCGTAAGAGATTTTGTTTCGCAAGATTTTCTATTCATAGGATTCTGTACCACGATATTTTATCTGCATAGGATTCTGTTCTATGATATTTTGTCTACCCAAAAATCAGATCCATGATATTTTGTCAGCGTAAGATTACTTCTCACGATATTTGATCAGCGAAAGTTTCTATGCCCCGAAATTTTGCTAGCGCAAGTTTCTGTCCTACTGTATTTTGATTTCGGTGTTACGCAGGCTTTCCTATTTTTCTTACATGTTTTTTGCCGATGATAATTTTCTTTTTTGCATTGTCAAAATGTTAAAAATAAAAAAAATCTCTTACTTCAAATGAAATTTTTTTTAAATTTTAATTTATTCAATTTTCATTTCCAATGAGCTGAACAATCGGTCTTGCCGATGAGCAGACCTAGTGCGTTCTCCAGAGGTGGTATACACTCTTTCAGGACCACTACAATGGGTGAGATATCGTTGGTCATGGTAATTTGGACGTCTAGTTTCTGCCACACTAGAATGCAGCACCGAGACTCTATTTGGATGATAAAGTGCACTAGGAATTTAATTTTGCCAGAAATGCCGAGGGCCAATAAGGCACTCCAGGGATCTTTTACATGCCGCATAATCACACGACATGACGGCTGAGGATTTTCTGCATCCCGAAAATCCAGTGTCTGGGACGGGGATCGAACCTGAAAACTTGGGCTCAGAAGGCCGACGACAAACCAACTGGGCCACCCAGCCACTCAAATGAAAATTAGATGATCGTAAAATATCTAAACACGTGGCATATTTTGTCCACTTTGCGGAGTATGTACTGCATTATTTTACCAGATCTCATCGCACCACCCAATTCGACGGATAATCGGTTGTTTATGTTGCATTTGCTATTGCTATTTGGACCATTTTGATAGGTCGTTTTAAGGTATGGATTCAAGGAGGGGAGGAAGGTGTAGGGGAGGGAAGGGTGGTTGAAATGCTTACTTTGTGCAAATTCCAGTGGGACATCGTGAATTGGCACTCAAATCAAGCGTGTGGAGTGTGGTGCGTGTTGTGGAAGAGGACAGGTCCATGACGTTGTCGGCACCACTCTTGGTTGAGAGATTAATAGCCGACGCAGGCTCCAGAGAAAACTGCCTGAACAAACAAAGCAACTGTTACTGCTACAAATACTACCTCTTAAATAGAAATTTAAAGGGTGAGGCTTCCTATCTTAGGTGTAGATGAGTGTGGCCGAAATCGCTTAGAATGAACAATTAAGGAATTTTCAGGTTTAGAGGCAAATAGTTTTACATTTCTAGTGGTATGTAATATTTTTGGAATAAGCGTTTCCAGATTATGTTACAGAATGTTAACTTAAAAATGTTTTCATAAGACGCTATTATATTTACAGGTAGTAAATGTCCCGCAGTGGACTGATCGTTAAGACTGCGGTCAGTGTGCTGGTGGGTGACCACTTGGACCAGCTTGCGTAGAGACCGAGGGTGTGCGGCATTGGTCCTCGTTTAACTGTTCTACCGTAAAGTGCTCGACTTCGCGTGCAGGTTGTCGGGCTACCGAAGCGGGGGTGCCATCCCCTCTGCAGAGGATCAGAATTGTGATGGCATGTCTACGGATCATTCGGTTTCCCAGACCGTCACCAATACCCATTAAGCGACGTAAATGAACTACAACAACAACAACAGGTAGTAGATATGGTGATTCAGAAGATAGAGCGCTCGCCTTCCAACGAGGTGAACCGGGGTCGAATCCCAGCGATGGCTGGTAGACCCGGCTAGCACCGACCACAGTGCTGACGTAAAATATCCTCAGTGGTGACGAATCCTGACTTAGAGCCCCTTACCATGAGGCTAACCGTAGAAGATTTTCGCGGTTTTCCTCTCCATGTAACGAAAATGCCGATTAGTTCCAACAGAAAGTCCTCCACGAAGGCACATTTTTCCCAGGACTCTTGATCCCAGGAGTTCCCTTGTCTTCCGGATTGGGTTTAAAATTTCATGGCTACGAGGTTGATCGTTGGTTGTTGAAAACCAAAAATTTGGATAGCTGTTCAGCGACGGATATAAAATATATTACATTAATATATAATTAAATAATATTTCATAAGCATGTTATTTAAATTTAAAAAAATTGTTGGAATGAAAATGAAATTTTTATAAAATTAAATTGCTTTTATTTTATTTAATAAAATAATTCAGAATGAAGAGTAAATATAATTGACCTAAACAGTGAATCGTCATAAATAATGGATATCGTGATTATTTATTTCTCACTTAAATAATAATATGCGTCCACAAATAAACAAATTCTAACGACTATAATTTCGACAAAAGTCGGAAAAGAAAATTACATTAAAGGTGGTGATTAGAGAACATCCTTGTACACATAAAAACCTTATTATAAAAAAGTGACGTACTTAAAGGCAGTTCCTTGCTGGGGCTTTGGCTTGACAACGATGGGCGTGGGCCTCTGAGGTTGGGAGGGCTGCTGAGATGGGGCAACATCTGCCTCGGGCTCAGTGGTTGTAGCAGGTGCAGGGGGCGTCACTTTTGGTTTAGGCGCAATGGGTCTGTAGACGTCGAAGGAGAACTCAGTAGGGGGCTTGCTGTACTTTTCTAGTTCTTTGTTGAGGTTCGTCCTGGGCGTCTGTGTGTTGACGTAATTTGGGAACTTGTAATCCTGAAGATCCAGTTGCTTCACGAAACACATGGGTCGAAGAACACGCTCTGAGCTCAAGCCTGCTGTGAAGGACAATTGGTATCATTTTAATAAGTTTCATAGTTTCTTATTAATTACTTCACATTATTAATAAATTGACAGTTTATTATTAAGTTAGTTAACATTACAGGCCTCAATGAGTCAAAAGTTCTGTTGAAATTATTTTAAATTTCGAAATGTCGGTAACACTTTACAACAAATTTGAAATTTTTTTTTGTCCTTTAAATGGAGCTATGTGATTTCGTATGAGAATAAAAGTATCAAAACCGAAACGTTTTGCTTTTCGAAGACGAAAAGTCGCCTAGCTTCTTGTGAATTCTCCGATAGTTCAACTTTTATTGAGTAACTTGTAACTTGTTTGTCTGTAACTTGTGTGATTGCGTGCTGTTAAAATACGAAAGTTCGATACTAAAAAAAAAGAGTTAAGAAAGTTTGAGAAAATGTTCTGTGGTAAACAATAGATAATTTCTGAAATTTAAAAAATTATACAAAAAAAAATTTCATGTTGTACAGAGCTATTAATCCATTTATGATGTAACAAAACTAATGATCGCCATCGTAAGAGATGTAATAACCAAAATCACTTTATGAGGTCAGATGGTAAAGGGCATCTACTTGGTGAAAATGAAGAATGCAGTAAAAACAAATGATAAAGGAACAAAATATTTATTACTGGAAAATTTAACAACACTTGCTCAACATTACATAGACTACTTCATAACTCAAACTTACAAATTAAGGGAGTGAATCATGCAGGTATTTAAAGAATCTTGGCATTTCACTTACGTCCACAGCTACGACGCTGATACGGGGAACAATGTCCTCTAGTGAGTTGTTAAGGCCAATTTCATGAATGTTCCCCAAAGAAATAAAAATTCTGATTGGATAGATCGGGAGAACTTAAAAACGAAGCAAAAAACCCACCGTTAATCGGATCGCTCTTAGCTTTTAGCTCCCTTTGTAAAGTAAAAGTAGTTTTCCTTGGTACAGTTGTGGCCTTTAGTTTTATTGCTTCCCGTATACACCATTAAAATTTCTTAGTTAGAATAAAATAAACTTTTTGCCTTTGAAATTTTTTTAATCCCAATTTTGAACTGCGTCTCTAAATTTTACAAATGTTTTGATTTTTTTTTAAAAAATAGAAAAAAAGGGCCGTCATATTTAGAAATTCGTAATTCAATTTCTGCACATTCAACGTCAAGGTTTATTTACGTCGCACTAGAGCTGCACAATGGACTGCTGGCCACGGTCTGGAAAACATCTCCGAGGATGAACCGAAGACGTGCCATCGCAAATTTCAATCCTCTGCAGATGGGGATGACTCTCCTACTTTGATAGCTTGACGACTCGCGAAGTCGAGCATTTTACGGTATAAGGACCGATACCGCGCACCCTCGGTCCCTACGCAGGCTGATCAAGGTGGTCATCGACCCGCTTACTGACAGCAGCCAGTAATGCCTGACTTCGGTGTTCTACTGGGACCGCTAAACTTCAAGGGTCCCACAGTGGACTGATCGTTAAGACACGGTTCCCAGCAGATCACCGAAGTCAAGCATCACTGGCTGCGGTCAGTGCGCGGGTGGGTGACCACTCGGATCAGTCTGCGTAGGGACCGAGGGTGTGCGGTATTGGTCCTCGTTAAACTGTTCTACCGTAAAGTGCTCAACTTCGCGTGCAGGTCGTTGGGCTATCGAAGCAGGGGTGCCATCCCCTCTGCAGAGGATCAAAATTGTGATGGCATGTCTTCGGATCATCCTCAGGGATGTTTCCCAGACCGTCGTCAATAGCCCATTGTGCTGCTATAGTGCGACGTAAATTAACTACTACTACTACTACTAAACTTCAAGGAAAAAGACTAGAGCGCTTAAATTACTAGCTTTAATTTTAGTTTGAAGAAATGAGAAACTTTTTTCTTCCAAATAAAAACAAAACTAGCCGAATTGAATTCAGTAATTGGGATTGTTGCTGAAAATGATTTAAGAAAATTTAAAGAAATGTTTCCCGTTTAGAAATATTTTCAGCTAAAGTAAAGTCACTAAAATATTTTCTAATTAACACTTTTCAGCACTTTAACGCTTTCTTATTAACACTTTTTCAACACTATAACACTTTCTAAACTGACACACCGTTGAAACGAGACACACACCGTTCAACTTTCACAACGTTTCAACAAGAAAGTAAAATAAATAAATAAGTAAATAAAATAAAGATTACTTGTTCTTTCACGAACAAATTCCTTTGTTATCAGAAAACTGGGTAAAAATAGTGCTTGGCGAAAGGTAATACTTAATTTAATCAATCTCCTACCATTTTTGAAAAAAAAAAATTTTGAAAAAGTTTTTGTGAAAAATTCCGTTGAAAAGTACTTGTACCCCAATATGTAAACACCATAACAGTATATTGTAATAAAACTAAGCATTACTTTGTGTAACTGTAGTAGTTGTGACAGTTTTAGTTTGAGTCTTGTGTTCTTTATGAGCCATTTTTTCCATTGCAGCAATGGGGCATCCTGAAAGACTGGAAATAACAGACGATTCATTCAGAGATAATTCAACCTAATGGCAACGCATGCATACATTAAGAGTAGTAGAGATATTAATACCTTCTATGGGAATTTCTGTTACTGTTGACATGTCCCTTTCCATTACAACCCGGTGTCGGGCACCTGAAACGATCACAATTTAAACTAATGAAAATTAAAATGCCATGGATTATAAAATACGAATTAAATGTGCAAATGACGTTCAGTTTACAGTAAGGGGAGCAATTAGCTTTGATTCTTCTACCATTTTAAAAACGGAATGATATAAAAATAAATAGAACTTTCAAAATCTTGAAAACTGATTTTTCGGTTTGAATCTTTAAATTTAAGTTTGGTTTGATTGTTTGAGTTGTATTAATGCTACACTAATGGGCAATCACCTGCCAGCTTTTTGACATACACTGGTGAACAAAATTAAGAGATGGAAGACATTTTCCCAAATATCTCAAAAAATACTAAATATATATAAATGAAATTTGGTATGGATATAGCTTATTCCATGATAATAAAGTATGTAAAACAAAAATGAAAGTGCCATTCACAGGCAAGACCTATTGCCAATAAATCCAATGTAGCCTGAACTTAAGGATAAAAGATGACAATAAAAGTGAGGCTTGTACAGTGTGTATTGCCTCTAATATGGTGTATGGTCACCCCTGACAGACAGACAGCATGCACAACGAGTATGCATGCTGTTAATAAGGGAGCTAAGGAGGACTTGTGGAAGACCCTCCCATTCATCCACCAGAGCGATTTTTAACTCCAGAATGGTTCTGGGGGGAGGTTGGCTCTCAATAGGATTCAGGTCAGGGGATTTGGCTGGCCAGTCTATTCGCTGAATATCCTCGCTTTTCAGATACTCATCAACCATGAGAGCTCTATGTGGTCGAGTATTGTCGTCCATAAAAATGAACTCAGGGCCAACAGCGTCCCTGAAAAAACGCACATAGGGCTCTAGGACCTCCTGCATGTACCTCTGGGCATTCACGAAAGCATTGTTAAACACATGGAGCGGTGTGCGGGTATCTTGCATGTGCGAATGAATGTGCGAAACTGCTTTCCATCTCTTAATTTTGTCCACCAGTGTATTAAGACTGCACATTTAATAATTAGGTCGAAAGTTAGAATGATTCTTTTTTAACCACTGTATATCGAAACAAAGTAGGAAGTCTTATTTAGCAACGTAGACGCTATTTGTGCATGAAAAGTATGAAATAAGTAGCAAAAAAAAAATGAAGCAGCACACTAAAAACATAAAGTGATACAGCATCAATTACACGAAGCAACATGCAAGCAAAAAAATTGATAGGTATAAAACATACATGTTGCTGTTACTTGTAAAGGTAACGTAATTTAGCTCTTATGTTATTTATTTCTGACGTTAAATTGGGTAAAATAATTTCCAACCACATTGTTTATTTACATTATTATCATCTTCTTAACTTGTTAATAATGCAATTATTTAAAAAAAAGAAAAAAAATATGTAATTTGCTCAAAATAATAAATTGGAGCATTTTTATTTTAAATGGCATTTCTTTTACCATTTATTTATTTCATTTAAAAAAGAGGTTTGCATGTTCTAAGATGGCGCAGCGCAAAAAAATAGTTACTTTTACTTCAAAATGTGATTTTTCTAAGTGTATTGAGCATTTTTAAATCATACATTATTATTTCGAACAGTTTGAATTTTAGTTTTGTGATCTCCGGTATTAAATTTCAGCAGATAAATAAAAATAAACAAATCACATTGGCGCTTACTTTGAAATAAAAAATTAACAATTTGTATAATTTATTTTTTCTTATTGTAAAATATGTTGTCATGTATAAACCAATAAGATTTTCGTTTATATATATGTATATATCCTGTTATGAACCAACGAGAATTACAAATGTGTGCCAAAAGTATAACTCGAGCAACCGATAATCGAAACACAAAATCCAGAATAATGTAGCAATAAATAATTATGGTAATTTATTACTTAGTACACATTTACGCTATATTGTTTGAAAAATAAATAAAGTTCCAAGAGAAAATTATAATTTTTTAAATAGTTATAAGGTGTGGATTTTTCAATTGGAATATTATTGTTGAAATCAGGGGGAGGGGAGGGAGGAATGTTTTCTTTGATAGACATTATACATAAGAATAAAATGATATTTACAAGTACTATCAATTGTATTTAGACATTTTTATCATTTAAAATTGTATTAATATTTCACGGAATCTTAGAAAGTCCTGATCTGCCTAAACTCTTGGCACGCACCTGCTACCCCGCAAGCAATTTTTGTTGTTGAAAGATTGACAGCAAATGAATCAAAGTTAGATCCAGAACATAGTTCGATAATAATCATAATTACCCACGAGATTACAGAAGTGATAAAGTTAGGAAATATTTTTTTCCTTACGTTGCACGAGATTTTCAAACGGATCTTTGACATTTTTGGAATGATTTCGAATATGAAATTGGCTTCTCTCTACAAGCTGGAGCTTTTATGAAATGTAATGATATATTCCTCGCCAGAATTCGATCGAGTGAACACTAAGTGTCTCCACTTCTCGTTTACGTAGGGAGTGGTAGGTAGAAATACATTTCAATTCGTGACGTTAATGATATATGTCTTAAGCGGATAGGTATGTATGTAAACCAATACTTTCTTTATAAGCTTGTCCACTCAATAAACTTAACTAGAAATATCATTTCGAAAAAAAATCTATAGTTTTCCCAAACAAACTGATTTTAGATTTGAAATCACCACACCCGAATTACGTGAGATCAAGTACTTGGATGAATGCATCAAAAAATTTGTTCCCAGGTATTAGATAGAACAATCATTTAGAGTCCATTTTACTTGTTATTTAATATTGCCTTTTCTAGCTATCACTTAGGTTCGTATACAATTTTATGATTAAGTTGCTGAGAGTGGTCTAACTATTCTTAGGTTCATAAACAATTTAATGATTAAGTTGTTGTCAGTGGTCTAACTATTCTTAACTTCGTAAACAATTTTATGATTAAGTTGTTGAGAGTGGTCTAACTATTCTTAAGTTCGTAAACAATTTTGTGATTAAGTTGTTGTGAGTGGTCTAACTATCCTTAGGTTCGTAAACAATTTTGTGATTAAGTTGTTGTGAGTGGTCTAACTATTCTTAAGTTCGTAAACAATTTTGTGATTAAGTTGTTGAGAGTGGTCTAACTATTCTTAGGTTCGTAAACAATTTTGTGATTAAGTTGTTGTGAGTGGTCTAACTATTCTTAAGTTCGTAAACAATTTTGTGATTAAGTTGTTGAGAGTGGTCTAACTATTCTTAAGTTCGTAAACAATTTTATGATTAAGTTGTTGAGAGTGGTCTAATTTTTTTCATAGGTTTGTGGAATAAGAAAATTGATGTCTTCTACCCATGACGGGGCAGGGGACACAAACTGAAATATGGTAATAGTTTACAATTGAGGGCTCTTTTTGTATTTGTATGTAGTGATTTGAAACTATACAAATAGGTATGAAAATAACCATCCCCTAACGGTGAACAAAAGTTGCGATAACCCAAAGGTGACGTCATCTAAACAAATGTAGCAAGGAATATTCGATAGCAAGGTTAGCCAGATATGAAGCTGCATTTTAACTGAATGAAAATTATCGCCAAATCAAGGGGTTCCCTTTCTACACCTTAACCTAAAATATTACTATCTAGATCAGTTATTCTCAACCACTGTGCCTCGGCACTTTTGTGTGCCGCCAAATTCTTAAATTGCGCCGCCAAATATTAGAAATGATACAATAAAAATCATAATTCTTTTTTTTTATTACGAGTAAAGTTTAAATTAAAGAAAAGTGTATATATATATATATATATATACTTTTCATAATTTTTCCATGCTTTAACAGCGTGAACATCTTTGTCAGCGATTATATTGTCTCTGACAATCTTAAAATAAGATGGAAGTGTTTAAATTGTATATGACACACAATTTTAAAAGAGCTAATCATTAAAGTAAGCTATGCAATTTAATAAACAAATTGACAAAGGATAACTAAAAAAAAACAAATATATAAAAAACAAATTAACAATTGATAACTAACAAAATTTAACCTAACAATTAATAATCAGCAAAAAAACTAGTTAACAAGAAATCACAAAAAAATAACAGTTAATAATTATAGAAAACAAGCTAACAATTAATTAATAACTAGCAAAAAAATTAATAACTGTTACTAACTAATAAAAAAATGGTCGAAAGAAATAATTAATCCCTTAATAAATGTGCCTTTGTAGTACATATTATTTTATTTTACATTCAAAATTATTACCACAAACTATTTAACACGGTGTGAAATAGGTAATTAAACAACTTTTAATCTAATTTTTTTCATTGTGTGCCGTCAAATTTCGAAATCTTTAAAAGTGTGCCGCCACAAAAAAAGGTTGAGAATCACTGTGGCTCCAGTTGAGCTGAAAATTGGCTCAATATAGGGTCCTTATATAAACATGCACCCTGGGACCAATATTGGAATGTCTATATTTTTTAATATTAGTCCTGTATAAAACCAATATCAGCCTATATATGGAAAATATAGGGCCTATATTGGCTGAATATCAAATATCGGATGATTCTGACAATTCTATATAGAACCAATATCGGAAAATAACGGCTCTTTCAACTCGTATTGAGCTGAGGTTCGTGAATATCGGTCTAACAAGGGCATGAGTTAGTTTACTGCTGGGTGAGTTATTGTTTCCAATGTATTTCTTTTAAAGATTGTTTTAGTCAAACAAACAGTTATGAGTTATCAAGGTTTTATGCATAATATGTATAGTTTTGTATTTATACCTAATTATGCATTTGGAAACGCAGTCTATGCAAATGATACATTATTTCTTATGTTTTATACTCTAAATTCCACAAAATAAAAATTCAGCGATTAAATCAGTAGTAGTGAGAAAGTAGTTGTTCGTGAAAATTATTATTTTCGACTGATACTCTAAAATTATTATACTTCGACTTATTATTCCTAAATTATGATTATTAAATACAATTATTATAGTATTTCGACTGATACGCATAAAACCCGAATAATTTCGATAGAAACACGTAAAAAATAACTACTAACTAGTCTATTGTGCAGTTTTTTTACGTGTAAACAATCATTAGTTAAAAACTGCATTTCTTTTCTTTAAAGATTTTTGTAACTTTTGATCTATTAGTTGTATCACTTTGGTATTATAAATTTCAATTCAATGCAAAAAATACATTGAAAACAAGGCCTAATTTGTCTAAATAGCGATATTTAAGGTTCATCCCCAAGTCTGCAAAGTATCTTCCTTCTGTAAATATAATGTATCTGCAATGCAATGCACTGTATTTTTAGTCAGCATCGTATAATTTTAATAAAAAAAAATTAGACCACTTACTCAATCATAAAACTGTAAGAAATCGCGAAACCTATTATAATGCAAATGTTTGGTAGTACTTACAAAATCTGCTTCATTCTTAAAGCAGTATTTGTAAACAACATCAGATATAAAATTATGAAAATAATAATAATGATAACTATTTAACTACAGATAATAATTCGTAAGCATCAAAAATACAGTTCAACACGTCAGTTTGACAAGAAGAATTTCATGCGAGGAAGATAAGCACAACTAGGAATGAAAACTCAAAAATAAAACTTAAAATAGATAAATAAATAAAATTAAAACTATAAAAAAAATGAAGCGAAAACGTGCGTAACGAATTAGGGCAGCGTGCAATAAAACTGATAGTTTGTCTATAACTTACTTCAATATCGTCTCGTGCATGGCAAGAACTGAAACGAAAATTCTAAGTGTCAAAATTATTATTTTTTATGAACGGTGATACTTGCCAAGTTTAATAGTTTATTAGCAAAATGTCTGGGAATTTATAACTTAAAAGTATAGATAAGCTTTTTTTTTCCCCTCAGTTTTTTTTCTTATTTGGATTCTACTTTATTTATTGCTTAGTTCTTCAACTGTTAAAAGAACTCTGATTGGTTGAATATCTCACATGATTTCAACCATTGCCAAAAGTTTCGTTTGTTGAATTTCGATTGGATATGTTATAAGAGTTTGTTTTGACTAGAAAAATGAAAAGAAACTTTTTTTTTTTTTAAATTTTTTTTGTTTAGTTATTACAATTACATTTTTTTTCTATGCCGATATTTTTCCCACGAAAATAATGAGAAGATTTTTATTTTAATGTGAGTCTTTTTGGAATTTTTAATGGAATTTAAGTTTCAAGAAAAGTACGGATTTTTCTGCAACGAAAAATACTACATTGTTCTTATTATTTGCTTTTTCAGATCAGATTAAATGATTCTGAAGAGACGACTGAAAATTCGATTACTAAGAAATAAAATATAATTATTGTTATTACTTGAATCGTTCTGCTTCAGTTACGTCAATAAACATTTCTGTTAAAAAAAAATGTTTATTTCCCCCCCTCTTTTTCTAAAAGTTTCATACACGTTTTTTCTTAAAAATTTCTTTTAGTAATTCTGATCGAAAAAATATTTTTTCGACTTATTTATTTCAAATATTTTTTACCACACACGCTCATTATTTTTTTAAGAAATAAAAAACAAATTTTTCCGATTTCCATTGACAACCAAAAAATTAAATTTTTAAAATTGCTCTTCGTTTGAAATTTATTTTTGAAAAAATGATGAAAATATGAGAATTATTCGCATTGCCTCCTATTCCTCTACGTATAGTTTCTCTAGGACGCATGTTTGGAACTAGTAGTCACTGATCAGTGAGGCAAGTAATTGTTAAAACGTATAATTTGCATCATTATTAAGCAAATAAACATATGTAGTTACAGATGTGAGAGACTTTGAAAAATTAAAGAATTAATTTGGAAGAGAACATAAACTTGGAAGCACAATATATTTTTAAATTCTTATTACAAACACATGAAAGTTTTTTTTTATCAAAAATAGTTAAGGATGTAAAAAAAAATTGAAAAGTGTTGAAAAAGAAGCATTTTCATTCATGTGTTCTAATTGAAAAAAAAAAACATTATTACGCGTATTCGTTGAAAAATGTTTTATACTTAGCATTCAAACTTTTTTTAAACATATTTTTGCATATTAAATTTTTTTTTCTTTGAAGCATTAACTATACAACAGCTTTACTAATTTATATACTTCAAATAACGTAACTTAACAACTCATTTGGCCCCGTAAAATTTTTTTTTCTTCTTCTTATTATTATTTATTTAGAGGGGTAATTTTTTTCTTCTCATTTTAAGAAAGTTGAGCTTTTTTTTATTTTATTTATCTTCGTTTAAATTCTTCTCTTTAATTTCTCACATATGTATAGATTAAAGCATATCGATAAAACAAATATGTAAAGCATTGGTCATGATTATTTGGCAATTTTTTTATTGCTAAATATGTCGATTTTAATATACTTCTAACTCATTTCACACATTAATATCTAAAAAGATAATTTTTAACATTTTTATACATAGAGAGTTAATTTTAATATGGAAGAAATATGATATTTTAGTAGCATTTTTGTAAGGGCAATTTGTAATTCTATAATTTGTAATAGTAAAATTATAATTTTATTAAAAGCAATATTATATGAATATACGTACTTTCAGGCGTAATTTTATCTTTCCTTGGGCAGCCAGACAAGCTATTTTTTGAAATATAAATATTTATTACATTCATATAACATTGATAGAATAATCACATCTACAATTAAATAAAATAAATATATTCAATGTATATTATACCCACATTAATTGACGCTTTTTTAAAGTGTTGAAGTACTGATCATAATACCTGAATAATGGAAATGTATAATTAGATATGCGTGCATGCGCGGAAAAAATTAACATTTTTTTTCCTTCATAATTTTGTAGCGAATCGTAATGGGCAACTTATGGCAGAAATCCGATTTAAATATATTAAAAATTTAAAAAAATTCGAGCAATTTTTTAAGTAGTTTTTGTACTTTTTAAAACAAAGCACACAATGACAAGGGGTTTTTCTTCAAATAACATTTTGCATCATAAAACAAGAACTAAATAACAAAAGAAAATACTTTACAATTAGCATTCATATACCGAAATATTATTGTAAAAGGAAAGAAAACATGCAAAAAAAAGATACTTTTTAATGAACTTGCTTAGTAGTACAAAATGAAATTTGGGGAAAACCCCTTATCATTTTGAACTTTTTCTTTTCTAAAAAAAGCACAAAAACTACTTTGAATATTGTTTTAAACTTTTTTTAAATTTTTGAGAAATTTAAATCAGACTTTTTTCATTAGTTGCTAAATATGATTCACTGCAAAGTTATGAATGTTAATTCAATTACGCACATGAGCAGTACAAAGAGCTACTTTAATTCCTCATATAATGCACAATTTTCAACGAATCTTTGTTCAAATTTTAAAGCAAAATTTTTTTAATTAGTTTTAAATTGTTCTGAAAATTTCGTTTAATTTTATATAATAATATTATTAAATAGTTAAACAAAAAAAAAACGTAAGACAAAAAAAAATATTTTTTTAATAAAAACGTCCATGTTTTCATAAATATTTAATCTACGCTTACGAAATTTTGACCAAATTAATTGTTACAAGTTACAAATTTATTACTACATCTTTCGGCTTAGGGTATTCAAAAGCACTATTTTCCATATTTAATTTATTGTCTGTCCCTTAAACCTCTGAAACTTTAAACTTCATTGATAAGTATGAGAAATAGCATAACCTAAACACTTCTAAATTTATAAAATTACTCTCTCAGTAATATTTGAGACAGATAAAGAAATGCGTTAGTATAGAAGTGTTTCCATTATTTTATCCAACCACTATATATATTATGTATATATATTTGCATTTTTTACTGGAACCATATAAATCGTAAATTTTTTAGAGTTGAGTTGAGACATCTTACCTCCTATGGTGCGAGTAGAGGCCGGTGGAATGGCCGATGCCGTTGCAACCAGGAGTCGGACATTTGCTATCTGAGACAAGATAGGAAAGTATTAAGCATACACGAACCAAAAATTATTTTGAAAATGGCTTAGAATTATAAATACCTTTAAGAGAACCATCGGAATGGCTGCCCATGGAAATTTCCTCGGCCAAGGCTTCTATACAAGCTGAACTCATAACATGCGAAGAAGAGCACATTGTATTTTCCTCATTGTTATTCGACCTGTAAAAAATAATAACATTAATTTGGAATGATTCTAATACACTGGTGTAAGCAATTAAGAGAAATTACAGACCTGGTCGATTATCTCTAGAACAGGGGTTTCCAACTGGCGGCCCGCGAACTAAAATCTATTAGTTTTCATTTTTTTGCGGACAATTTTCGTAAAAAATCTATGAGGGTTTAAAATACTTTTTTTCGTTAAAAAAAAAAACTCCTAATTTTTTCGTTATTTCGTAAATTTAACACATCAAACGGTGTAAAAAAATTTATTTCTCAGGTTTTGCATCCAAGAAAATATTTATTCAAATACAGAAATAATGCTATTTTTGTATTTTTGTGTGTTGCTATTTTTTTTTTTTTTTGAATATAATTTAGCATGTGCGTATCAGAAATTTTCCTATTCGAATTCAATATAAACTGACGATAAATACATATTTTCCATCGTAATAACCTTTGGGTATGTCAGTCGGAACTGAACTTGTGTTAGTCCCTCTTTATTATTGCATTTCCAACCATTGCTTCGTGATTTGGAGAGATTTTGGTGTTTTGTGCGTAATCAAAACTTTTACATAATGATTGGTTTTTTACGTAGTAAGATGCAACTATAACAGTTCGATAGGCGAAACTTAAATATGCTAACATGATATGCAGGCGATTAGGATTGTTTGGAGTCATTTTTTGGTTTACAGTGCGTTAGCAAAACTTTTATATAATGATTGGTCTTTTACGTAGTAAGATGCAATTATAAAAATTCGATAGGCGAAATTTAAATATGTTAACTTAATATGCAGGCGATTAGGATTGCATTTCCAACTACGTATTGCTACGTGTTTTGGAGTCATTTTTTGGTTTACAGTGCGTTAGCAAAACTTTTATATAATGATTGGTTTTTTACGTAGTAAGATGCAATTATAAAAGTTCAATACGCGAAACTTAATATGCAGGTGATTAGGATTGCATTTCCAACTACGTATTGTTACGTGATTTGGAGTCCTTTTGATGTACAGTGCGTAAACAAAACATTTATATAATGATTGTTATTTTTATGTAGTAAGATGCAATTATAAAAGTTCGATAGGTGAAACTTTATGCAGGCGATTAGGATTGTATTTCCAACCACGTATTGCTACGTAGTTGGAGTCATTTTGATGAACAGTGCGTAAACAAAACATTTATATAATGATTGGTTTTTTACGTAGTAAAATGCAATTATAAAAGTTCGATAGGCGAAACTTAAATATTAACTTTACTAATGTAATATAACTAACTTAATATGCAGGCGATACTTTAAGTTCGGAAATTAGACTTAAAAACAGGATATAATAATTAGCATATTTAAGATTAATGTTTTGCGTAGATATGATTGCATCTTATTAAGCAAAAATCTCAGATCAAAAGTTATTGAAATTAGTGCTCTTCCTTCCTTTTTTTTACACACTATTCCGGAAACTTTGTTCCTCTCATTTGGGATCTTTCTGAATATTATTGTTTAATGTTGGAAGTTTTAGAATTAAACTCACCCTAGAAGTGATTCTGAAGATTCTTTTGTAGCATCATCTCCTCCCTCATCAATAATGAGTGGATTATCATCGTCTGGAAGAGGCAACAGGTGATCTTCGTAAGTAAGAGGACGAGTTTCCAGCATCGCGAAACGGCGAAGACCCGCTGTCGTGTTCACTGCACGAAAAAAAGAATTTTTGTGTTATAGAAATGTTCAGTAAACCGTTATATGTTTTATTTAGCATTCATTCGTCTCTCTATTAACCCAAGATCGCATAAATTTGTACAAGCATTGTCAAGATTGCAAATTTATACGTATAGATTTGTTTAAGTTTGGGGAAAAGCAATGAACGACGAAGAACGTCGAATTTTTCCTACTCATAAATGGCCGCGACGAATATCTTTCTTCAGGTCGCTTTATTAGTACAGTCAAACCCCACTATAGTGAACACGGTTTATAGTGAACTCCCGGATATAGTGAACGAAATGTTCGGTCCCGTGCCTTGCTATACACGTATAATGTTATTTTGTGTGGATATAGTGAACCAAAAAAAACGAGGAAGTTGGCTATAATTAACTTTTTTCTGATTTTTTTCTTCATTTTTTTGGGTAATAATTTTGAAATTTCTACTTCAAAATAAATACATATACCGATTTTCAAAACCATCTATAGACAGGTTTAAAAAGCGGAATAACAGAAATTCAGGAAAAGCTATTTGAGAGTCGGGAAGTGTTTCCATATCTGATGTTGAGGATTGCTCATCAGCTAAAGATTACAAATTGTTTTTTGCACGCAAGGCGAAGAGTAATAAAAAATAACACATTTTTTGCTACTACATTATATTTTTCAGTCGTTTATTTGAATAATGAGTAATAAAGGAAACCATTTGTTATTTACCATTTGTTGAAGTTTGGAAACCATTAGTTATAATTGCCTGCGTAACGGATATAGTGAATTCCCGGTTATAGTGAACCAAAATTTCGGTCCCTTGAAGGTTTACTATAGCGGGGTTTGACTGTATATACTTGTATAGCCGACAATGAAGTAAATTATTATTGATCCCAACGGATTGAAAAATTGTTGTTACACCAGTTCGGCTGATTCAAGTCTAAAAAATTGAACATGTTTTGAAGGAAAATTTTCTGATTGTCTGAAAAGTAAAAATATTTTGAATTAAATCTGGGAGTGAAAATCTTTTTGTTCAAGTCTGAAAAGTAAGAATATTTTGAAGTTAAAAATAAATTTAATAGTTCTGAAAGATATACATAGATATTTACGAAAGGCAGGTTCATAGGCGACTTGAAAAAAAAAAGAAAAAAAAAAGCTAAGCTGATTAATAGAGTGGTCGAAATTCTGACAAAACCAAGAATTAGATTTATCATGAACTAATAAAAGAAAAATGCTGTTTTTTACAAACAGAGAAATAGAATAGAATAGAATAGAATAGAACAGAATAGATAGAATTATAAAATTAAATGCAAGAAGTATTTAGAAAAGAGATAGATTAGAAAAAAGTTTGTAACAACTGTTTTGATGTTAATGTCTAAAAAATATCACTAATCCGCTGTGAGGTAATCGATCTTTGTATAGAATGATAATTACATTTGTAACAACTGATGCTTTTTAATTTTTCTCCATCCATGAGATAACGACGATGGTAAATATCGAAAGGAGTATTAGTTCTTTCGCATTTTTAAAAAGTAATGAAGTTTAGAATTAGAACAATCACATTTACTTACTTCTTTTTAGAAAATAACGAGTCTACTATACAAAACGGAATACTTTTGTTTCTTTCAATTTGTCAGAAAACAAAACTGCTGCAGTTGGAATGGCATACTTTTTGTTTTTTATTTTGCAATTATTACAAAATAGTGGGAATTGCATTTGGAATAGAATACTTGTCTCAAAATAACTGTATTCATACATTTGTAATGGAATTTTGGTGTCAATTCAGTGTGCAAATGGAATTAAAATTGATTAGAGAAATAAAAAGGCAATAATTAGGCAATCAAAAAATAAGATTTTTTAAAATATATTATGGATTGTAATAAACTTAAAAAAGGAAATTTATTGACAAAAGTTGATCGTGAGATCATATTGTCAAAAAAGTTTCTAAACTAAGGTAAGTTTTAGTTTGAGTTGTTGCTTATTTACGTAGAATGTTTTATTTAATTTTATAACCGTCGTTGAACAGCCGATCCAAGTTTTTGTGTTTACGACTACTAATGTTCAATTTAGTAGCGTTGCAATTTTGAACCGAAACCAGAAGACAAGGGAACTCCTGGATCAAGTATTAGGAGAAATTTGTCTTCGTGAAGTTCTTTTTGATGGAACTAACCCTCAATCATGTTTCATGGTGAGTAAAGCCACGAAAACCTCCCACGATTAGTCTAACGACAAGGGGACTCCAAACCATGATCCATCTACCACAGAAGTTATTACGTCATTTTACGTTTCGTATCGATTAGCCATCTCCAGGATATGAACCCGGTTCAGAACGTTCTATTGGCAATGGTCCGTGAAACATCCCTGAGGATGATCAAACACATGCCATTACACTCTTGATCATTTGCAGATGGAATGGATCAACACCTCCTAGAAGAAGGAAGGCCTCAGCACGGATCAATTCAGTAGTCCGACGTAACGAAGTTAACTGCGCAGTAGATGAAAAATAAGAAAGATGTCATTACGTTCGGGGTACTAAGCTGCACAGTGATTGAAAATACGAAATATGTCATTACGTTTGGACTACAAAATGATATTTATGGTAACCCGTGCTGAGGCCTGCTTTTTTCTAGGAGTTGTTGGATGGATACTGACTTTCGTAGTCCGAGAACCTGCGTGCGAAGTCGAGCACTTAATGGCTGAACAGTTTAACAAGGACTGACACCGCACACCCTCGATTTCTTCATAGACTTATGACGGCACCCACTCCCGTATTGGCTACTGCCAGTGATGCTTGACTTTGGCGATCTTATTGGGTACCGTGTGTCTTAACGATTAGGCTGTTACCGCGAGTGACCGAAATCAAGAGAATGTCAACTTTCGACGGTGAATGTCAACAATCACGTAATCGTTTTGGTGAATGTCCGAAATATTTGTTATATCCGATTTCATATTAATTTATTCGTTGATATTATTATATTTATTCGATATTTTAATATCGTCTGAGAATAGATTGGGAGAAACATCAGTGTTCGGTGGACCTGTTAAATGCTCTCTGAGCAGTGGCACTTGACCTTAAAGAAAAACATTGATGCAAGGCATACCGGGCAGTGACACTGAACCTTAAAAAAATATCAGTGTATGGTATACCGGTCAGTGGCACTTAACTAGACCTAGTACAGGGTTATTCATAATTCCCCCCGCCTGTAAACGCCATTTTTCTTTACTACAACTGGCTTCAGTGGTACATGTTACTGCCATCTACCGGCAACTGCTTAAATTAAAACTTGAATACTTTCGGAATAATATCATAGGTTCTTTTTTGCCATATTCGTTTTCGTTTTTTTAATATAACGCTTCGAAACCCCGGAGGGAATTGTGAATAACTCTGTATATATTTCGAACATTGCCAAACGATTATGTGATTGTTAAAATTCACCGGTGGAAATCAACAACCACCAATTTCGGTTAATCGCAGTAACAAGTGTATTACAATACAAAAAAATGAAGGGAAGCGGCTTTTTTGTGTTTGTGCAAATAAATTGTGGTTCAACAAATCTCAACGATTTACAGTTAACGTCTCAAAATGTAAAAGCTGTAGTAGTGAGAATAATGCTAAAAATGTCATTCATTCTTGGGTCACGGCTAGTAATGAAATCATAAAAATAAAAAATTAATTTTTCATTAGTGGATAACAGATAGAAAACGCGTAAGGATTAATTCGACTCGCATTAATAAAACCATTTTTGGGTCAGCAGGCTTTGTTTAATTGAAAGCGTATAAGCGAATTACGAGCATTAAAACGAACTATATTTGGATTAGAAAAGACCGCAAACAATGTCTGAATCAAAACAAAAAGCATACTACGTTGGTTGAAGCATTCTTTAACGAATTAATCAATTTGTCAGAATTCTTTTCTTCGAGAAGCCAGAGAAGAATTTTAAGAAATCGCGTTTTTTTTCTCTTTCAAAGCTGTGAAATCTCACTTGGTTTTGGAAATTCCTAGCTAATACTGTTTAAAGTTGAAGAAATAGTAAAATAAATACATTAAAAGATGAAATTGCTCTCTTTTCTGGTCATGGTTACAGGTAAAAATATCGGGCGATTATATGAAAAAAATGGATCGCGAAATTAATATTAGATAAGTATGATTTCGGAAAGCATGAAGCTTTATTTTCTTAAATTGAGAGTTGTTTAACCCTTTCGCGCCGACTGTCACAAATACGTGCCAGCATAAAACCGTATCAATCAGGGTAAAAAGATAAAACTGGTAATCAAAGTAATTCTTTAGCAGTTTATTTGTGGGCGGAGTTATAGTTGTATGATTTATTTAATTCACCATTACTTTGTTCAAAATAAAACTAGTTAGTTGTACTTTGAATTAACATTGATTATATATATGATTAAGCTAACAATAATTAAAGTAAAAGCGAAATAAGTCTGTCAAATTAGCAAAAACTGCATTTAAGTTACCGTTTTTCATTAAATTACAACTTGATTCTGATTTTGTACGAATGCTTTTCTGAATCAACCGTCCCCAAGGGGTTAAGAAAATGTTTGTCCCAAAACGTTAAAGTGTAAAAGAATTCTTTTATAGGAAACTTCTTTAATAGAAAATATGACTAAATTATTTTTTCATAAATTTGAAATTTATCTGTTGTTTCAGTATTGATTAATCCACCAAAATGACTTAAATTAGTTTATTTTGTTTTAAAAAAAACTGAAGTATATGGTTAAAAAAGAACAGAATTATTCGATAAAGCGATTTTCCAAAAACTTTTNGCAGTGGCACTTAACCTTAAAAAACATCAGTGTAGGGTATACCGGGCAGTGGCACTTGACCTTAAAAAAACATCAGTGTAGGGTATACAGGGCAAATGTATGCCGGGCAGTGGCACTTAACCTTAAAAAACATCAGTGTAGGGTATACCGGGCAGTGGCACTTGACCTTAAAAAAACATCAGTGTAGGGTATACAGGGCAAATGTATGCCGGGCAGTGGCACTTAACCTTAAAAAACATCAGTGTAGGGTATACCGGGCAGTGGCACTTGACCTTAAAAAAGCATCAGTGTAGGGTATACCGGGCAAATGTATACCGGGCAGTGGCACTTGACCTTAAAAAAACATCAGCGTAGGGTATACCGAGCAAATCTATACCGGGCAGTGGCACTGAACCTTAAAAAATATCAGTTTAGGGTATACCGGGCAGTGGCATTTAACTAGACTTAGTACAGGGTTATTCATAATTTCCTCCGCCTGTAAACGCTATTTTTCTTTACTACGACTGGCTTCAGTGGTACATGCTACTGCCATCTACCGGCAACTGCTTAAATTAAAACTTGAATACTTTCGGAATAATTTCATATGTTCTTTTTTGCCATATTCGTTTTCGTTTTTTCAATATAACGCTTCGAAACCCCGGAGGGAATTATGAATAACCCTGTATATATTTCGAACAATTGCCAAACGACTATGTGATTGTTAAAATTCACCGGTGGAAAACAGCAAATATCAATTTCGGTCAATCGCAGTAACAAGTGTATTACAAAAGATCAAGGGATGCGGTTTTTTTGTGTTTGTGCAAATAAATTGTGGTTCAACAAAGCTCAGCGGTTTACAGTTAACGTCACAAAGTGCAAAAGTTGTAGTAGTGAGAATAATGCTAAAAATGTCATTCATTCTTGGGTTCAAGCTAGTAATGAAATAAAAAAAAAATTAATTTTTCTTTAGTGGATAGCAGATAGAAAATGCGTAAGGATAAATTCGACTCGCATTAATAAAACCATTTTTGGGTCAGCAGGTTTTGTTCAATTGAAAGCGCATAAACGAATTACGAGCATTAAAACGAACTATATTTGGATTAGAAAAGACCGCAAACAATGCCTGAATCATAACAAAAAGTATAACTACATTGGTTGAAACATTCTTTAACGGATTAATAAATTTGTCAGAATTCTTTTCTTCGAGAAGCCGGAGAAGAATTTTAAGAAATCGCGTTTTTTTTCTCTTTCAAAGCTGTGAAGTCTAACTTGGCTTAGGAAATTGTTAGCTAATACTGCTTAAAGTTGAAGAAATAGTAAAATAAATAAATTAAAAGATGAAATTCCTCTCTTTTCTGGTTATGGTTACAGGTAAAAATATCGAGCGATTATATGAAAAAATAGATCGCGAAATTAATATTAGATAAGTATGATTTCGGAAAGCATGAAGCTTTATTTTCTTAGATTGAGAGTTGTTTAACCCTTTCGCGCCGACTGTCACAAATACGTGCCAGCATAAAACCGTATCAATCAGAGTAAAGATAAAACTGGTAATCAAAGTAATTCTTTAGCAGTTTATTTGTGGGCGGAGTTATAATTGCTTGATTTATTTAATTCACCATAACTTTGTTCAAAATAAAACTATTTAGTTGTACTTTGAATTAACATTGATTATACATATGATTAAGCTAACAATAATTAAAGTAAAAGCGAAATAAGTCTGTCAAATTAGCAAAAACTGCATTTAAGTTACCGTTTTTCATTAAATTACAACTTGATTCTGATTTTGTACGAATGCTTTTCTGAATCAACCGTCCCCAAGGGGTTAAGAAAATGTTTGTCCCAAAACGTTAAAGTGTAAAAGAATTCTTTTATAGGAAACTTCTTTAATAGAAAATATGGCTAAATTATTTTTTCATAAATTTGAAATTTATCTGTTGTTTCAGTATTGATTAATCCACCAAAATGACTTAAATTAGTTTATTTTGTTTTAAAAAAAACTGAAGTATATGGTTAAAAAAGAACAGAATTATTCGATAAAGCGATTTTCCAAAAACTTTTTCTCATTTTATTTTTGACTAAAATATAGTTTGTCAAGCTACTTTTGTAGTAAAGCAACATTTTAAAATTAAGTACGCCTTGCAATTCATATAGAGTATAATTTGTTACCTAGCAAAAAAAAAAAAAAAAAAAAAAAAAAAAAAAAAAAAAAAAAAAAAAAAAGAACAACCCGGCAAAAGTAATAATTTTAAAATAAACGAAACACGCATTGTTAAAGCTTGCATATATTGAATCATTTTATTTTTCTCATTTCAAAACAGATTATATGATATATTTATCAGATAAAAAGGTATAACTATCAACTATTTAACAGTAGAATTCTAGTCGAGAAAAACATCGACTACGAATGAGTCGGTGCAGTTTTATAGGTGAAGTATATGGTTGAAATTATGTTCAACAGGTACCACAAATTTTTATATCAAAGCCTACGTAAAATTTAATGCCAAGTCTCTGAAAAATACTTCTACGAGAGATACAGTGTTTTTAAATATAAGCAAAATTTTTGTTTTTATAAGATACTAGTATTAAGAAATTTAGAACAACTATACCAATTTCGTTAAGGAATTATTAGAATTAAAGTTTCGAAATGTAAGCATAATCTTCTCTTTCATTCGAGGATCATTAAGAAAGTAAAAACAATCAAATTAGTTTCGTAAAAAGAAGCTTCGAAATTTATATTTTAAAATATATGGAGAATTTCCACCTATATGCTAAGTAAACTAAACTCTCTAACTAAAGAAACGAAATTCAGCAGACTAAAGATGAAAAAATGCAAAATATGTAAAATTTAATAGCAAAATATTTTCACAAATAAGCAGCGAAGGTGACGCTTTGAAATTTAAGCACACTTTTTTATATCGTAAGAAAATTAAATAAACGTTTATAACAATCATATTAATTTTCCTAAAATATTCAACAGAATTAAGTTTGTAACATAATAAATTTTTTTTTACTTTGGTGCTAAGGAAGGTAAACTCTTAATATAAAATTCAGGAGAAAACAATACTTATTATGCAAAAATTACTAACAATATAATTAGTTTCAAAATTCAAGCACAATATTTCGTTTGTAAGAAAACTGTATAAAGAACGAGAGCAAGTAAACGAATTTCGTAAAATATTCAGTGAAATTTGTGATCGGAAATGTAAGAATAATCTTTTTTTTTTTGCACGAAAATCATTTAGAAACTAATAGCAATCAAATTAATTTATAAAATAATCAGCGGAATTTAAATACTAAAATATAAAAAGAACTTAAGATGTTTGGAAAGTTAAATTCAATTAAAACATAATTTCGTGGAATAAAAGATGAAAACAAATGCAAAAGATAAAAAATTAATAACAACCAAAATTATTTCGTAAAAATTCGGTGAAAGTTAATTTTTTAAATTTAAGTGCACCCTTTTATTTTGTAAGAAAATTGTATAGATTTTTAGAGCTACCAAACTTATTCCATATAATATTCCGAGCAATTTATGCTCTAAAGTATAAGGAGAATTTACACTTTGTTGCTAGAGAAGCTCTCTCAATACAAATTAAAAAGACAACACAAAAATAAGAGTGTGCTCTTTATGAAAAATTCAATTGGACGAAAACAAATATTTAATATACAAATATTTATAACAATCAATCTCTTTCTAAAGTATTAGAAGAGTTTCAAATTTCAAGAGCAACGCATTTTGTTCGTTTGAAAATTGCATACAACTAATAACAACCAAAGTGGAATTTACGTTTAAAAACACAATCTTTTCCTTTCCAAGAAAATCAAAATGACTATTATAGTCAAACTAAATTCTCGAAATGTCAACATTTTCCAAGAAAACTACTAACAACCGAAAGAAAAAAATGAGATTTATATTTATAAATTTAAGGAGAATCTCCGCTTACTCTCCTTAAACCAAAATTTAATAGAAAAGAAATGCGCCTCAAGTCAATATTCCATTAATTAATGGAGAGATAAGGAGAAAAGCCTTACCTGGAATAGAAGGTGACATTCGGACTTGTGTTCCTTCAGAAGATGTGAAATCTGTGTTAGTGGAAGTTGTGCAAACTTCCCTCATCACCTGCTCTTCAGCCAATAGAAGATCGTCTCCATCCTCCTGTTGGGGACAGGAGTCGCCCACAGCAACGTCGACAGCCGTGGGAGGGGAGGAGCGGTACACACTTTCTCCATCCTCCTCTTCCTCTTCAGCATCTTCATCTGGAGGTGGGACAGGGGATGTGGTTGGTGAGGAGAGTGGGGATGGAGATCGGGATGCGGAAGAGCGGGATGGAGAGGATGCGGGGGATGGGGATGATTCTGCCGAAACGTACTTATCCGAATCCTCAGGTGAGCACTAAGAAAGGGGAAAAGAAGTAAACAATTCTCAGAACTTGCGATTTTCTCAAAGAATTTTTCAACTTAAGATGATTGGAATTTCTGTCATAACGCCGTCAACAGCAATCGGAATATTTTAGATGGTATTTTAGGATCTACAAAAATACCTGATGTCTTTTCCGGAGAAAGTATTATTTCGGTTGAAATTCAACAATATTCTGTTTACTTTTATTGCTAAACGGAAATTTTATTCACAGTAAAGTAGAGTATATTTTTGAATGCTGTTACGAAAATGCGCTAGAATAATTTTTCGAACTTGTCCGTTATGTCTTGCGATTGTCCATTAATAAATTGAAATGGGTTTAAATCATTAATATAAAGTTCACTAATATTAAAAGAATCTGGGACGCATATTTTTTTTAAAAATTACTTCAAAAACACATTAATTATTTTGTATACTTGTACAAAGTTAGCATCTAATAAGTAAATAAAAAATGCTTTCAATTCTTCTGAAAAACATTTACTGGAAAATTATCCCTAGAAACTTAAAGAAAATTATACATCTTAATTAAAACGCTACTAAACTTGAAAATATTTCAATACAAGTGATGCAAGTTTATTTTCTAATATGGCAATAAAATGTAACATCATTTGTTTTTAAATAATGTATTGATGTTTTCAAATAAAAATAAGATTATAAAAATTAAATGGGACTGTTACTTGGCAGTATCCTTAATAAATGAAGTAACAGATAGGTAATATTATTGCATAAAATATTTTTAGAAAAAGAAATTTAGCTTTTTGATGCATATCAAAAAAGTAATGCACAAAACCGAGCTATTATTTAAAAAAAAATAGATTAAAGTAATTACTTTAAACTTGTTTATCTATCATTAAAAGAATTTTTCAAGTAATTGAATATTTTATTATATTTCTTTGAAATATGTCCGTAAAAAAAGTAATTTTGTGTGAAATTTAGAATTGTCTAAAGATGAAATGCCTGTACTTTCTACCACAAATGTATTGTTTAAGATAATCTGTCAGGATAAAAAATTATTATAAACTTACTTAAATAGAGAAGTGCATACCTGCCAACTTGTACGGTCGTTGAAAAAGATTTTACAAAGTGGTAGTAAAACAACAATTAAAATTGGAGGAATTTTCTAAAAACAAAATTACTAAGACATCTGTAAGCATAATTAGCCAACAAATAAATTTTATCTACATATGTTTTAAATGATTTATTCGTCGCACTAGTTTAAAAACGTTTTTGAAACTTTAAATTTCAACATTTAATCCACCGAAACGCTTATGTTGCTACCACTGAGAAAATTATTTCTCAACGGCCGTGCAAGTTGTCAGCTATGAAAGTGCATTGAATAAGTCGTGAATATTTAGTGCATATTACAAAAATATCAAAAGAATTCAGAATTAGCTGCTGTTAATAGGATTGTTTCCAAATTTTGAGAAGTGACCTTATCAAAAGAAAACTTGCAAACTTCATGAATTGATTTTTACACTCTAAAAGTTTGTCTTTCAAATAAAATAACAAAGAAAAAAAAATCAAAAATTCAACCTGAAATCAAAATGAAAGAAGTTTCTTAAAGTACTAGGAGTCTACTAATTTAATTACAAGCGATAATAACTTATTTATACGTACAGGTCTTCTATAAATTATCATTTCTTGTGAAAGTGGTTGAGTTCCGAACGATGCCGCTAAAATATTTGCACAATCTGCTTCCATTTTCAAAAGATTTTCTCTGTCATATTCCTTCTGTGATTTCCTAGTAGGGTTGCCATCTTCCGTCGCTAGATAAACAAATTAATAAAGATCATTAACAGATTATCTTTTTGTTCTATGCAAGTTTTTGGCGGTGCTTTGACAAAATTCCAAGTTAATGATAAACATTTAAAATGCGCTTTTGAAGATTAAAATTTTAAAGATGGAATTCATCATTTAGAGCACTTCCCTTATTAATTCTTTCATTTCGAATTTAATTCACGATGCTTGACTTCAACAATGCTTGGATTAAAATTAATCAGTTTCAATTGTAGGATTAACTTAATGTGGAACTTCAGTAGTAATTAATTCCCTATTTATTTTTAAAAGAAACAAATCTAATGTAGATTAAGAAATTTTATATTTGTTATTAAAAAATATACAAAAAAAAACATTCTGTATTTTCCCTTGATAGTCACTCACAAATAAATTGTATTATTAGTAAATGATAACGATGGTTGGCAATAGCTATAATAATAAATAAGTTTGTGAATAATTTCTGTTTAAACTAAATCGTTTTATTTTTAGGTAATAAACTATTTACTTAACAAGGCAACATAGAGTTAGAGCGATTGGGACAGCAATCACATTTTTACCAATGGTTTTTGAATACTGTTTGTGGATTGTGGATTATTCAAATTTCCTTCAATACATTTCTAATTAAAAATTTTACTTAAGATATTCCTTCCAATGGAAATCCAAAATATTGATTAAAAGAAATTATCGTTTGCTCAGTAATATGCTGAGATTAAATTAATAATTGATTACATTCCGATATAATGATTGACTTTATACAGATATAAACCTACAAGACAAAATATAACTAATATCATAAAAATATCACTTAGGTTTTCTGTTGCTGTAAAATTTCCGGTGGGCAAAATCTTACTTAAGGAGCGAAATGTTGTTCGTGAGAAAGTTTGTTTAATAAAGAAAAGGTTTCATGGCAATATTTAGCTGCAAAAATGATACGTAGAAAGAAAAATTAAATTTTAAAATTGAGGAACTTTTATGCAAGGCGGCATTTGTTTAAGTAACTGACTCGCAAAAAAATAGTTTGAATGAAGTTTTTGCTAAGTAAAAAATCTTGCCTGGCAAAATATTGTTTGAGTATAATCTTGTTTGTAGAAAGTTTTTTCTTGACGAATAAAAAATATGTATTCGCAAGTTAGTGGCAAGAATATTACCGGGAAAATATCACTTAGCCAGCTCAGCAGTAAAGCCTATTTGTTTAAATTTTCTCGTTGGCGTAAGTTAAGAAAATATATCGAATGAATACAATCTTGGATGTACTAACTCCTGCTTGCAGAACAAAATTTTTAACTGACAAAAGCTGGTGACAAAAATATTCTGGGATTTAATACAAAATTCAGCTTGTATAAAATATTTCATTGATGAAATCTCTCATCTAATACACAATTTTGCCTACTAAATTGCTTATGCTATATTTGTTTGATAAAATTTTGTTGGAATACCCTTCATATTATGTAAAACATTCCTGCATTAGCCCGTTGTGGGCCAGGGGATAATGGAGTTGGAAGCTCTACAATTTCGTGACTAAGAGTTTGATTGTGACAATGTGTTTAGCATTGAGCAAAGGCCACCTTTACTTCCACATACAAGTTGGAATCCATCGATATGAAGCTAGGTAGGTTTCAAACCACTACTGGGGATCGAAGTCCGGTCCTTCACAATGACGACTCAGTGTATATGTTATTGAGAATGATCGAAATCGGTAGTTGCTGACTTCCACCAGTGAATGCTGTCAATCTCATGACAATCGCTTTGGTAAATGTCCGAAATGTATACTAGGTCTAGTTAAGTGCCACTGCCTGGTATACATTTGCCCGGTATGCCCCACATCAATGTTTTTTAAGGTTAAGCGCCACTGCTCAACGTGCATTTAACCGGTACTCCGAACACTGATGTTTCTCCCATTCTATCATCAGCAGATGTAAAAATATTGAATAAATATAGTAATATCAACAAATAAATTAATATCAAATCGGATATAACTATTTTATGGGGCATTCACCAAAGATAAGATGTGATTGTTGACATTCACCGATGAAAGTCGGCATTCTCTTGGCTCGTCATTTATAAGACATTAGTCAATTTTTAATTCATATAAAGAGAGGCACAAGTAATGAAAAACTTACTTTCATCTATGCTGTGTTCATCCAAGTATGGAGTATTCGTGCTTTTATTCAATGATTGCGGAGTTTCTGTCGAACTTGAGGAGCGTTGCTGGTAAAGCTGCTGACTTAACTCCGAATTTTGGATTTCGAATCTTATTGGGGTTGGTTGAATGGGTCGCTGTTTAACACCCACGCCATCCTTCCACACATTCTGGATCATTCCAGCGTCAGCGGATTTCTTTGCAACGGCACTCTCAGGAGACATTTTCCCCATGAAGCCTCCTTTTAGGTTCATAAGTGCTTCCTGAGCTTCTTGCACTCTTTTGGCATCATCACTCAACTCTGTGCCATTGCTGGTTACGTGATTCGAAACTGAAGCAATTCCAGTGAACTGATTGTTGGCAAGCTTGAAGTTTGATTGTGGGGACATTCCTATTTGATTGCAGGTTTGTTTGTTAGCAGGTTCATGTTGGTTGTCTGAGTCATTTCCAGCGTTATCTGAGTTAGAAACAGCTGTATTTTTACTGGCCTGCTTAAAAGCTTCCAGCCTACTTTGCAGGAAGCTAGTCGGTTGCACTTGCACAACTGGTCTGAACGGTACACTTTTCGTAGCGACAAAGTTTGAATTTGGACAAGCTTTAACAAAATGGGTTCCTTGAACTTTGTTTAAGGTTTTGTCTGGACTCATAGTGAAACGCGCACCTTGAAAATTCACAACTTTTCGTACATTGTCCATTTTGACAGGGTCTTTCTCAATGGGATTATAAACAGGACTCACCTCCAATTTGTTAACAGTGACTTTTGGGGCGTCCTCGTTTTGCTTGGAGTGCGACGTCAATGGTGAAAAAGTTATTAAATTTTTCGGCATTGATGGGGACACTTTTTTAATTGCTTGTGCAGTAAGCGGTTTAGTATCAAGAACTGATTGGTTGAGTGTGAACTTTTTATGAGGTTCGCTCTTTTTGGCAAAATACAAATTAATATCTTTTGTTGCAACTATCTCTGTTGTCTTTTTCGTGACAGATACTCCTTTAATAACCGGCTTAATATCTATAGGCGCTTCATTTGGATTAGGAGGGTCTATAATGCCATCGCTGCTTACAGATTTCGAATCCGAGATCGCATCTGTTTTCAGCTTAGCATTCTTTTGTGCGTTACTACAGGCCGTGTTACTGACTTTATTCAAGGAACTTTCAGGCGTTTTATTTTCATACGGTTTTAAAGGAGATTCGGTCTTTGTAGTTTTGATTTCACTATCTTCTGAATCAGTCTCCGCATCATCCATTTCGTACTTTACTCCCTTGGTTACAGAAGTTGTGGTGCTGTTAGTGTTCTTCAATTTCTTTTCAAGTGGGGGAGTATCGGTAGTTGTTTTCTTTTGACTTTTGTCTGGTGCTTTTTCATTATCCTTTTGCTTTGTGACAGTTGAGGCTAGACTTTTATTGTTAGAGTTCTCTTTAATTTTGGGATTTGGTTTTTCAACTTCTTGATCAGAGTCCTCTTCAATCTTCACTGAGATCAAAGCTGGGGAAGGAAAACATTTAGTTGGCTCTTTATTTGAAGCTTCCTGAATTTTCTTTGAGCGTTTTTCTGTTGCGTCTTTCAAGATATTTGTCGACCCTGGATGGAAGAAAACAAATAGAATAAACTTAAAAAATAAGAAAAAACATCATGTTTTTAAAGTGGGGTGGATTAATCTACTTTTGATGATTTTTTCTGATTAATACTTTAAGACGCTATCGTTGTCAAAGCCTTTAGTTTCCTTATTTTATTTTATTTTATATCTGCTGCTGTAGAACGACGAATATAAAATAAATTAATGTTCAACTACGTAGCCTTTAAATTTCGAACCAATCCAGAAGACTAGGAAACTCTTAGATCAGTACCCCCAGGGGTATGATTTGTTATGGGAACATGGAGGACTTAGCGACTAGAAAGATTTAACGTGCATCAGTCACCATTTGTTACACGGGGAGCCTTCGACCGGAGGGGATCGAACCCACGATCCCTTGGATATGGACCCAGTGTTCTACTAAATAGACTATCCCGGCTCTAGTTCCTTAATTAGAATTAATTGTTGCATAATGGTTAATATCCATTTGTAAAATAGTGATTTGGGGGCCTGTTTCTTAATCTGCAAGTACGAAGAGCTCTGCGTTATGCTTCTCAGTTAAAGTGATAACACAGCTTTTGAACGACTGAACAGTTAAATTTCGTTACACAATTCTGTTATTGATGAGAACTGCGATTATATGTCAAAGAGACCTGGTATCTGAAATGGGGTGAAGATTTGAGGTAGAGCAGATCAAGCTTTTGAGTAAACTATTGTGAAAAATATTTTGTCACCTACACATAGAGAGGTGTTAATATGGTGTCCGCCATCAACAGTTCGTTCACCAGGAGTTGATACTTGGCTCCGCCTTCATCACATGGAATCCGACGATATTATTTCGCTATTTTCGGAAGAAAGATGAGAACAATCCTGAACAAGGTAGATATTTGGTGATCGTATGACAAAAATATTTATTTCGTAATTCATTTCTTTAACATCAATTCTTGTATAAATTTGATGATATTTCTCTCTTTTGAGTAACTAGTTTGTCCTTTTTTAGACATTTGGCAGCAATATATTTCATTAGCTAGAGTACCAAAAGGTATAATAAATAGCAGATGGTAACGAGAAGTAAGTGACTAAAAAAGAATTCCTTGATTACATTTCGCGCGCATTAAGGGTTGTCTCAATTTCAAGTGCGGAGACTTTTCTTCTCTTACTCCACCGCTGAAATGAATTCTTCATCAGAGGAGGTGGGGCGAAGTGCCAACTCCCGGAGGAAGAACAGTAGTGAGGTCAACAATGAGTTAAAGTTATTGAATATCAATCTGAGTCACCAGAGAGGTGAATATGTTTTTAAATTTTATTTCCAATGAGCTGCACAATCCGTCTTCCCGATGAGCAGACCTAGTGCGTTCTCCAGAAGTGGTATCCACTCTTTCAGGACCACCACTATGGGCGAGATACCGTTGGCCATGTTAATTTGGACGTCTAGTTCACCAGAGAGAAAAAGAGAGGTGAAAAAGACAGAATTCTGAGATATCACTCCTCAATGCTGTTTGTTAGGTTTCTCAGCAAAAGTTATCACTCACCGTTGAAAGTTTAAGACGCTCTGGGAAATAGTCGCTACAAATATATATTAGCGGACAGTGGTACATTAAAATTACATATAATATAAATACAATTTTAGTATAACGTAAAAGTCTTTCAGGATGCGCATCCAAATCCTTCAAAAAAACCTAACCACGTTTTAAGTACTTTTTAAGCACCCAATAAATATTTTTAAGCACTACATACATAAACAAAATGCAAAATAATTTTCAAAGACTATACATGATCATTATAAAATAAGCAGTTTCTGACCAAGAACTCTTTTCTTGATTATATTAGCCATTATAAAAAGCTCTCGAGATTTTTCGGTTCGATTTCAGAAGGTGGAAAACGAGGCCTGAAATTGAGACGTTGAATAGAATGATATAAATAGCACGCTTTTGCGTGATACGTGGCGAAAATTGACACGGTAAAGAAAAAATTCTCATTTTTAGAAAAGGAAAAATTAAGCACTTTTTAAAAATACACAATGAAAAAAGCACCTTTAAGAGCTTTTAAATAGCGAAAATAAAAAATAAGTACTTTTTAAAAGAGCTACACACCATGTGTTTCATAATAAAACGTTTGAGTCTAAAAAATTATAAATCTCAAAAAAGTTTGAAATTCTTTTGTATTTGCGACAACTGTTACCTACATTTCAATCGACTTAAATGCTAATGCATTGATCATACCTTTATTATTATCCCCATTCCTTTTCTGATTCTTTTCCGTTTTGGAATCTTGGCTATCTTTGGCGTTGTTTTTATTTGACGTCGTACCGTTGACCAGTCCACTCGGTTTGCTTTGGGAAGTTTCTTGGGCATTCTTGCGACTGTTTACTTTTTCGTTTCTCTTGGTGTCGCTGGTTGGCTGGCTGTTGCTGGCTGTGACTGGCTTTTTCTCCGCTTCTTGATTGACTTTGGAACTGTCGGAGGAGGTCGATCGCCTCTGTTCAGACCTTCTTGTCTTTGATACTGAGAATTCATTACTCGAACTGTCCAGCAATTTTCGTTTCTTGGCCGCCAACGGACAGCCGGCCACCCTACAACAATTAAATACAAAATTGCAAAATATAGATATAAACACATTAAGTTAAAAGTGATTAAAGTGTTCATGTAATAATGAAATATAATAGAAATATAATAGAAAAAGCGATTCGAATTTGAAATACAAAAGAAGGAACAGTTTTAATTTCTTCGTAAGCATCCATCAGAAGAAAGTAAACCCAATTATTCGCCAGTGAAATTTAAGGAAATGTTTCAGCTGCGCAGGTCTTCACTTGTAGAAATGCAATTCAGCAATATCAATTTCCAAGAACAACCTACGCTAGAGTGCGGGAGAAAGGACTACACACGTTGTTGATTAATGTGAGTGATCAGTTTTCTATTACCTGTTCGAGTGGAAATAAATTTTCTGTTTACATTTTAAGCAAACTTTTTCAAGGGTAATGAAATTCAAAGTTCACCTTCACAGAAGCTTCCGGTATATATATATATATATATATATACAGTGGAGCATCGTTTATACGACGTTTACATTTATACGACGTTTTAGTGTGGTCCCAAATCATTCCTATTCATTTTAATGTAAAAATATATCGTTTATACGACGCACAGAATCGGTTATACGTCGATTTTTAGATTTTGTTCTTTATTTAATTTTTTATTTTTTCTTGTGTATTTTAAAAAAGGGCGGAATTTGCCAACATGAATGATACAGAAAAGGGTGCCAACAAGAATGCTTGGATGA